TTCCACCCCAGACCATCCCAATGATGCCTTGGAAGTGATGTCCCAGTGCCTGGAGGCCGTGCGGGTCTGGATGGGGAGAAACAGGCTTCAACTCAACCCTTCTAAGACCGAGTGGCTGTGGCTGCTGGCGTCCCGGTATAGCCAGCTGACGCCATCGCTGGTTATTGGGGGCGAATCATTGGCCCCCACAGAGAGGGCCCGCAACTTGGGTGTCCTCCTGGATGCACGGCTGTCTTTAGAAGGGCATATGACAGCTGTGGCCAGGGGGGCTCTTTGTCAGGTTCGCCTGATATGCCAGTTGCACCCCTTTCTGGACCGGGACTCCCTACGCACGGTCACTCAAGCACTCGTCACTTCTCGTCTGGACTATTGTAACGCTCTCTACATGGGGCTCCCCTTGGGGTACACCCGGAAGCTCCAACTGGTGCAGAATGCAGCTGCGCGGGGATTTATGGGAGCGACTGGGTGCTCCCATGTGACTCCTTTCCTGCGCGAGCTGCATTGGCTTCCGGTGGACTTCCGGGTGCGCTTCAAGGTGTTGGTGATCACCTTTAAAGCGCTCCATGGCTTAGGGCCAGGGTACTTACGGGACCGCCTTCTGCCACCAATAGCCTCCCACCGGCCGGTTCGCTCCCAAATAGAGGGCCTCCTCAGGGTGCCGTCGGCCAGACAATGCCGGCTGACGACCCCCAGGAGGAGAGCCTTCTCTGTGGTGGCACCTACCCTATGGAACAATCTACCCCCAGAGATACGAGTGATCTCCGACCTCCGGATTTTTCGTCGGGCCCTAAAAACTTATTTTTTTCAGTTAGCCGGTCTGTCTTGATTTTAGGGTTAGTTTTAAATTTTTAATATTGATTTTAATTGACAAGTTTTAAATTATGGGCCAAATTTATAAATTATTTTAACTTTATTTTTAACTGTGATGTTATATATAGATGTTTTTATCTTGGCTGTTCACCGCCCTGAGTCCGAAAGGAGAAGGGCGGTATAGAAATTTGAATAATAAATAAATAAATAAATAAATGTGTGTTTCTAATTATTGCTATTTATTCATATTTGTTCTCTTTTATTCTTTAAAGTTTAACAATTCATTCTTTATCTTAATATCTTTATATTTGTTTGGGGTTGGCTTTCTTCCCTTTCATCTTTTTTATTGTACAGCAATCTTTCTCCTCAAACCTAGCACCTCTCTCTTTTCTTTCCTTCTTACTTTCTCTTCCCCCCACCCTCTTCTTCTCCTCCCTACTTCCTCTTCCTTTCCCCTTCTCCTCCTCTCTTCCTCCCTCTCTTACCCTCACTCCTACTCTAATTTCCCTTCCCTTCCTTCATCCCTCTCTATTGCTGTATCCTTTTATGCATATGGACTACTCAGAGGGCTGAAAAAGTTATTTTTGACTGGTCCTCACACTTTTGACCAGTCCTCGAACTTACGACTGTCCTCACATTTTACGTTTTTTGTCCTATCTTATCACCATGGCGAAGAGAAGCAGTTGTGAAATGAGTGACATGGTTGTTAAGAATGCTGCACGGGCATAAATGTGAGGATGGTCATAAGTATGAGGACCAGTCAAAAGTGCGAGGATCTGTCAGAAATGACTTTTTTCAGCCCTCTGGTTAGTCCTTTTGTGCATATGGACTACTCAGAGGGCTGAAAAAGTTATTTTTGACTGGTCCTCGCACTTTTGACCAGTCCTCAAACTTATGACTGTCCTCACATTTTACGTTTTTTGCCCTATCTTATCACCATGGTGAAGAGAAGCAGTTGTGAAATGAGTGACATGGTTGTTAAGAATGCTGCACGGGCATAAATGTGAGGATGGTCATAAGTGTGAGGACTAGTCAAAAGTGCGAGGACCTGTCAGAAATGACTTTTTTCTATACACATAGCCATGGCCACCCAGTCACATGGCCAGTTAGCCCCGCCCACCCAGTCACATGACCTCCAAGCCATGCCCACAAAATGGTGGGTGTCCCGCTTTATCAATGTTAAAATCTGGTCACCTTACCTTTGCTATCTTCTTTGAAAAAGGCAGCATAAAATTTTTTGTTGGAGATGTGAATGTTTGGATGCTACGTATTATCATGTTTGGTGGACCTGTAGGAAAGTTAAGGCTTTTTGGATAAAAATTTGGTGGGTCATGCAGAATGTTTTGAAGAAAAAAATTCAATTCTCTCCACAATTGTTTTTACTGGGTATAGTTAAGGGTTTTACATCGGGTGAAATAAAACTGATATTGTATATGATAACAGCAGCAAGATTGTTGATAGGTAAATATTGGAAAAATGAAGCTTTGCCCACTATTGAGGAATGGACTTTGAAGATGGCCAGTTTTGCAGAGATGGCGAAGATTTCAGCATACTTAAAAGATTGTTCACAAGAGACTTATGAATGGGAATGGAAAAGGTGGATAGAATATGTTCAGAACAAATATCAAACTAGAAAGTATCAAATAGCTTTTATTTGAAAATAATGTATTAGAAATATTTTAATGTAATGAGGGTAAAAAGAAAAACTATAAAGGGGAGGGAGGGGTTCAAGTTTTTACATAAGTTTTATATTAAGGGTTTTTTTTTTTTTTTATCTTTCTTTACCAGATATGAGTATAATATAGGGAAGTCTGGGGGGAGGGGAGGGTTAGGGAGGTTGGGAAGTTTGGGGTGGGTGGTGGGGGGGGAAAAGGGGTGAAAATGTAATTGTAAAACTTTTGCAATAAAAGAATGCTGCACGGGCATAAATGTGAGGATGGTCATAAGTGTGAGGACCAGTCAAAAGTGCGAGGACCTGTCAGAAATGACTTTTTTCAGCCCTCTGAATAGTCCCATAGCCATGGCCACCCGGTCACATGATCAGCTAGCCACGCCTACCCAGTCACATGACCTCCAAGCCACACCCACAAAATAAGCCACACCCACAATGGTGTCCCACTTTACCAATGTTAAAATCTGGTCACCTTAATCGGAGGCTTTTTTTTTTACTTTTAAAAGCATTTTTTTAACCGAAGAGGTTGTAGAAAAAATGCTTTTAAAAGTTAAAAAAAAAACCTCTGATGATCGCGCAGCTCAGCTGGGCATGGGGGGGGTGCAGGGATTTTTGGTACCGGTTTTCCAAACGACCCGCCACCATCGCTATCGAATTGGGCGATCCGGTCCAAACCGGGAGCATTTCACCCCTGGATAGAGGGCTGCAGTGATGGTTATATTTCTGGAACTCTGTCTCATCTCCACACAGGACCTCTGGAGCTCAGTCAGAGTGACCATTGGGTTCTTGGTCACCTTTCTTACTAAGGCCTTTCTTCCTCAATTACTCAGTTTGACCAGGGACTCAGCTCTTGAAAGAGCCCTGGTTGTGCCAAATGTCTTCCATTTGAAAATTATGGAGGCCATTGTGCTTTTAGGAATCTTCAGAGCAGCAGAAATCTTATTGTAGCCTTCCCCAGATCTGTGCCTTGCAATAATTCAGTCTCTGAGCTCTGCAGACAGTTCTTTTGACCTCATGGCTTTTGCTATGGTTCAATATGCATTGTCAGCTGTGAGGCCTTCTATAGAAAGATGTGTGCCTTTCCGAATCAATTTAATTTACCACAGGTGGACTCCAATCAAGGTGTAGAAGCATGTCAGCAGCAATCAAGAGAAATGAGACACACCTAAGCTAAATTTCATATGTTGTTGCAAAGTGCCTGAATACTTATGCCAATGTGATATTTCACTTTTTTCTTTTTATAAATTTACAGACATTTATAAAATTCCATTTTCACTTTGTCATTAGGGGGTACTGAGCATACATTAATGAGAAAAAAAATGGATTTTAACAACTCTAGAATCAGGCTGCAGCATAACAACATTGACAAAAGTGAAAAGGGTCAATACTTTCTGAATGCTCTGTAAATGTATTTAGTTACACACTTGATATGCATGTTTAGAATTTAAGTCTTACAGAATTTTCTATTTTGAAGCAGTTCCCATTGAGTTAAATATGAGAAGTAAACATTTACAAGTTATTTACAGGAACCTTACATAAAATTTATAATCTTCAGTATATCATTGGAAATTTCTTAAAACAGGATTTATATATTTGTGATATATGGAATTAATTGGAGTACTTAGATTCTTTTTTCCCCTTCTTCTTTTAATGCATGCATGAGATATTAATAAGTTTAAAGTGCATTAAATGCTGCAGCATATTTGTGATTGCTTTCTGTTTGGGTGCATATTGATCTGGTAAATGGAAATGTCTACCTAAAGCTATTAGCACTCTAGAACTAAATACTGTTATAGGTTTTGAGGTGGATGCAAGCTCTATAGATTGCATAGGCATTACAAAAGATGAAGCGATGGCCTTTCTCCAACAGATACATTACATACATTCCAAAAATATTCATATACCTGATATGAAGGGAAGATTCCAAAATTAGGTTCAGTGCAATAATTCTATATTGCATCATTCTATTAGAAACCTTTAAAAATGTTTCAACGAAAGTACAATTTTCTGTAGCTTAAAAAAAGAATGAATTGCTTTGTTACAATGTTTTGTAGAGTCATCATTGTTATCCCACAATCAGATTAATTAAGTAAGCTATTCTTACTTAATTAATCTTAATAATAAGATAATATTATTATATTATATTATATTATATTATTATATTATTATAATAATAAGATAATAAATTATTCTGGAAGTGACCATTGACTTTTATAGATCCCATTGCCAGTGAAAGAAAGCCATTTGCTGAAGATCCAGAAATTCACTGCTAGAGCAGACAATAAAATTTCACTGATTCATTCACTCGTCTGGCTTAATATAAAACAGGTCATGTCTTACTTACTTATTTAAGATTTGAGGAGGGGACTGTTGAAACTCATCCAAAATCTTGAAGTAGCCATTGGTATTTGAACATTATTAAATTTGAAAATGTTACATTGTTGATAGGGAAGATTTGGTAAACTAGTTTATTCTTTATTCATATTAATGAATGCTACTTTTTTCCCCTTTTCAAAAGGTTACGGTTTTGTAGATTTTGATAGTCCAGCAGCTGCACAGAAAGCCGTAGCATCTCTTAAAGCAAATGGTGTGCAAGCTCAGATGGCTAAGGTAAGATTAATGTGTGAACATTGCTTGATTGTACTGCTTTACTTTAATATAATGTGATATTAGTTTATTGCAAAAATTCAGATTATTTTTGTGATTCTTTTCAGAATCAAAATGTACAATGATTTTGCTTTATTCATTTATAGATTTTTTTTCTTTTGTCCTCTACTGATTTGTTTCCTTCTTGGTCATCATCAGTCTTTATGCATTTATAAATGTTGGATACTTCCTCCTTTTTTTAACATCTAAATTTTATTGTGCAAAGAACAAAAATGCAGTACCATAAAGCATTAGTGCCAAAGCTTCTTGAGCCAGTCCAGATTTTCCTTCCTTCATTAATGTGTTAAATATGAAAGATAAATATTGGGCAATAAGAAAAGAACTGCATCCCAAAGGTACTTTCTGGTCCAGTGGCCTCTTGAAAAAGCACATTTGGGAAAACCATGACCTGGAGGACTGAGAATTTCCATAGACAAAAGAACTGTATGACATCAGATCTTAAGGAAGACTTTTTACTTCATGGATAGCTGGTGTAAATAGTTGCTGGAAATATGCAATGCTTTTAGCTGTAACAAGGTGGCCCAGCTGAAAACATATTTAGGATAAGTACTGAAAAGTCAACAACTATTGACAGTGTTTGATAACATGCTTTACAGATTTGCATGCCTGGAGCTCATTCCTTGTAACATAGAAAACGTTTGTTTGCATATAAGAATGAATATTTTAATTGCCTGATATTTATGCTTGTCTAGAAGCTTGCTGTTATGAAACACTTGTAGAATCCATTGCTTTTTTTTAAATGATCCAGTTCAAATGACATTTCATTGTGTGATATTGAGACAACAATCAAAAAAGGAAAATTAGATATTATGCATCATCTCATGTAATGTTTTTAATAGGGTGCATTTGTTTGGTAACAAATATTTTTTGTTACTAATCAAATGCACACTAATCAAGTACTAAGGATTCTTTTATTCTGTCTGTGCCCTTTTCACATAAAAGACTAAGATGTAAGGGATTTCACTAACGGTTATGGATGTCTTAATTCATATTACCATGTATGTGATATGGTGCCAATCAAGATAGGCATCTCAAGGCAAAAGCATGAAATATTGATTCAGTTTAGCCGTTCCATAGTTTTTTCACCTGAGAAACTCTTGTTACATATTTTAAATATTAATTAGAGATCACTGTGCATCTATTTTTCAATAATAGGAGTAGAAAATGGAGATGAAAAAGGATTGAGGTTGTATAGGAATACACATGGGCGTTACTAAGTTAATGAGTACTGGCTGTTCATCAGTTCATGCCGTGCCCCCCCACCATTTCCCCCAATTCACACTGCCCCCCCCCCCCGCAGCCCTTTGGCCAAATGCGGCAGGCTACAAGCCCGGTAAATTGCTTCGGCCCGGGTGAAGGGGGTAGTTTGAGGCCAGGGCAGGGTTCTCTAGGCAAGTGTGGACAGCAATTTCCTGGGGGAAATACATTCAATGGCCCCAGGGGTGAGATGTAAGTAAAACAGAGACTTACCTAACTAGTGGTGAAGGCTTAGGTTGGGAGCGAGGAAGCCGTAGATCAGCTGGGCCATGGGTGCCATGTGGTCAAGGCAAGGAAGCCAAAGAGCAGCTGCAGCTATGCCACAGTGTGATTCTAAGGCACTAGCCAAGATGTTTGAGGCCATTAAGTAGTGGCTGGGCAGGGTGGGGTGGGGTGGGGCAGGGAAGGGCCAGTCAGCTATTTAGCAACTGGTTTGGCCAAAGTGGTGCGAACTGATTGAATCCCACCACTGGTTCTAACTGTCAGGAAATTTCTCCTAGTTCTAAGTTGCTTCTCTCCTTGATTAGTTTCCACCCATTGCTTCTTGTTCTACCCTAAGGTGCTTTGGAGAATAGCTTGACTCCCTCTTTTTTGTGGCAACCCCTGAGATATTAGGACACTGCTATCATGTCACCCCTAGTCCTTCTTTTCATAAGACTAGACATATCCAGTTCCAGCAACTGTTCTTTATATGTTTTATCCTCGAGTCCCCTAATCATCTTTATTGCTCTTCTCTGCATTCTTTCTAGAGTCTCAACATTAGTCTGACATGATCTGTTTTTGACAAACCCATGTTGGCTTTTGGTTATTACTTTGTTTGCTTCTAGGTGTTCACTGATTTGTTGTTTGATTATCTTTTCCAGAATTTTCCCTTCTCTGGTATTGAGGTCAGGCTGATGTGGTTATTCCCACCACTTATTATATTTCCACCACTTATTATAACTTCCTTAATAATTTTATTCTCTGGCACCAAGAGTAATGAGTTCCTGCATAATTTAGTCCTCTATTTTTGATAATCTTTATCAATCTTTTGATAACTTTTATAGTACAATTTTATAATATTTTTCAACTATAACTCAGACCAACAAAATCTTGTTCAGATTTTACATCCCACAGTATAGTAGACTGAGATTTAATGAAAGATCATGCATATAGTTAATTTTTAGTAGTTTTAGATACACATGTACCTAAATATCACTGCATGCTAAATAAAAGGCCAATTTTGAAATAAGCACAAACCAGGGGCAGTAAAAAGTACCATGATAGGTACTTAGAGCACAATTGCACTAAACTTTGAGATATCCAATATTCCAATAAATTTATAAATAAATTCACTTGTTTGTGAGTTTTTTTAATTTTTGTCAGTGAAAAATACATTTTTAATAAATGTAACAGTTAATTATTGAGAGTCCTTTTCAAATTTAAAGAAAAAATTAATATAATTGATAACAGTGAAGAATTGCTAGACTTTTATAGGTGCTAGGCTTTTATATCTATAAATCTCATTTGATTGTTTGATATACACTTGTTCATCTCTGACTATAATGATGATCATAGCATTATTTTCAGTGAAGGTATAACATGTGTTTCACTAAGATTTCACAGTTGGTATATATTTAATGATTTATTTATATAGATAACTTTATGTCTTTAAAAGATTAACGATGTTCTGCAATACAACAAAAGCAAAAGCAAACATAATATTGCAGCCAACATAGAATAAGACCTTTCTGGATTTTCTTTTGCATAATAATGAAATTATGTATTTGTGTCTGTGGTGATACATGCACTTTTTCTTCATGAACGAATCATATATAATTGTGTGTGTGGGAAGAGAGTACATATGCCTCTAGGTGCCCTGGAAAAGACGGAATAAAGTGCATACAATCTACTTTAACCAGAAGAGAAGTGGGGTTAGAAAGATTTTTGAAGTCACTGTACAACTTCCTCTCCAGAATAGATATGCTTGGATTTTTTTTTTCTTTTCAGTCATAGGTGGATCTAACTTTTTAAATTCACACTTTCTTTTGCGACTTCTGGCCGTAAGAAAATTTGGTTTTAGAGAGTTAGCCTGGGGAGAGACAGGCAGATAGGAATCCTTTATATAATTTCTTTCCAATATTATGTTGGGCTGGAAATAATAAAACTTGGGATTTACAACCTTTTGTTTCAGATCCCAGTTGTACATTCTGGTTTCAGTTTCATTAATACTCTTCACTTTAGTGTTGTCTCTGTCTACTTTATAACCCTATAATTTCATTCATTAAAGATACCAATGGAGTAGATAGATGGACAGGAAAAATAAACATGAATCATTATCTTCATAAGCTTAGTGAACACAGTGAAACTTACCTATCTGTAAGAACAGAGCTGTGAATCATTAATTGTATGCTAAAATAATGAAAGGTCTGTGTAGTTGAGCTTCTCTTCCTAATTCCTAACAGATGAGTCTGAAAGGTATAAATTCAATTACAGGTCACTCTTGTTTGACCTTTGTATCTGATACTGTGCCATATGATGCCTCTGAACATAGAGACTTCATCTGATTGTTCAGAACAGATCTTTGTCCAGAAGAGTGTAATTATTATCTTTTCAGGTTCTTTCCATGTCTCATATACACTGAAATAGCTCATGGCTCAGGTTTCTTTACAGATGATCATATATCAATCTACAATGAGCTAACAGTCTCTTTTATAACATTTTAATTAAAAAATATGCTTGGCTAACTTTAAAATCCTGAGTTATTTTGGCCCATTTCTAAATTAAGCATTAGCAAGGAAAGGAATGGAAAGGGAATCCTTAACAATTCAAATTGAACAGACAGCTCATAGGGACTTCTTTTCTGGTATTTCTGGTGAGTATTTAAAAATGTAGCTATTCTGTGTGAAAAATGGTTATCTTACCTTGATGTTGAAGGTTCAGAAGATCAAGACAAATAAGGTCAAAACCTTAATTATGCTTGAGATTCTGCTGTAAGAAAAAAGATGACAGTTCTGTATATTTGGGTATTTGTTAAGTTTTATGCTTAACATAAATATTTCTCTTCTTTTTAACTTTCTCATTTCATGCACTTTTGAATATGTAACACATTGACTTTTTTTAAAACGGAACTCAAGATCTGACTATTTCACAAGTATATTCATTAATGTGACAATTTTTTTTCTCTACCTGAACTTGTTACAGGTAGTCCTCAACTTACAACCACAATTGAAAACAAAATTTATGTTGCTAAGGGAGAAATTTCCCCTATTTTACAACTTTCCTTGTCATATTTGTTAAGTGAACCACTACAGTTGTTAACACGATTGTTAAATGAATCTGGCTTCCCCATTGACTTAGTTTGTGAGAAGGTTGCAAAAGGTGATCGCATGAGCCCCGAACACTGCATTCGTCATAAATATGGATCAGTTGCCAGGCATCTGAATGTAAATCACATGACCATGGGGATGCTACAATGGTCATAAGTATGAAAAATGTTCATAAGTCACTTATTTCAGTGCTGTTGTAACTTTGAATGGTCACTAAATGAAATATTGTAAATTGAGGACTACCTGTATAAGTGAACTTTGAACTATGCACTATAAAATAACTCACTGCTATATTCTTATCTAAAGCATCACATGGGAGGAACCAAGCTATTTTCTAAATTGATGCACTTTCCTGTTACACTTAATAATTTGTGATCT